GAATCCAACAACACATCAAAAAGATAAATACATTATGAGCAAGTGAGATTTATCCTAAGAATACAAGGATGGTTCAACATATATAAATCCATAAATATCATACATCATAGCTATAGAATGAATTACAAAACATATGATCATCTCAGTAGATGCTGAAAAAGAATTTTTGGTAAAATTCAACATCCTTTCATGATAAAACCACTTAGTAAATCAGGTACAGAAGAAGAGCATCTCAACATAATAAAGGTTATACACTAAAAACCCAAAGCTAACAACTTACAGAGTGAAAAAAAAAGTTGAAAACATTTCCTCTAAGAACTGGAACAAAACAAGGATGTCCATACACACCACTCTTATTCAACATAGTATGGGAAGTCTTAGCCAGAGCAATTAGGCAATAGAAAGAAACATAGGGTATCCAAATTGGAAAGAAGGAAGTCAAGTTATTCTTGTTTACATATGATATCACCTTATATATAGAAAAGCCAAAAGATTGATTCTACAAAAAAAACCTCTTATAACTGGTAAACAAATTCAGTAAAGTTGTGGGATACAGAATTAATATACAAAAATCAGTAGCATTTCTTTTCACAAACAACAAACTATCTGGAAAAAAAAAAAAACAGAACGGCAATACCATTTACAATAGCTACAAAAAATAAAATTAAATAAAATACCTAGGAATAAATATAACCAAGGAGGTGAAAGGCCTCTACAAGAAAAACCACAAAATGCTGGTGAAAGAAACTGAAGAATATACAAACAAATGAAAAAGACAAGCCATGCTCAGGGACTGGAAGAATTAATATTGTTAAAACGGCAATACTTCCCCCAAAAAATCTACAGATTTAACACAATTCCTATAAAATACCAATGACATTCTTTAAGGAATTTTTTAAAAAAACAAAAACCTAAAATTTGTATGGGACCAAAAAAGAGCCCAAGTTTCTAAAGTAATCCTGCACAAAAAAAGAGCAAAGCAGGAAGCTTCATACTACTATACCTCAAAATATAGAATAATCAAAACAACATGATATGAAAACAAATATATAGACCAATGTAATAAAATAACCCAAAAATTGATCTGCATATCTACAGCCAACTGATTTTTGACAAAGGTGCCAATAACACTCATTGGGGAAAGCACAGTCGCTTCAATAAATGATGCTGAGAAAACTGTATGTCGGTATGCAGAAGCATAAAACTAGATCCCCGCCTCCTATCCTATACAAAAATTAATTCAAAATGGATCAAAGACTTAAATGTAAGACCCAAGACAATAAAACAACTAGAAGAAAACAGAGGAAACACTTCAGGACATTAGTCTGATAAAAGATTTTATAAATAACACCTCAAAGCACAGGCAACAAAAGCAAAAATAAACAAATGAGATTATATCAAACTTAATAGCTTCTCCACAGCAAAGGAAACAATCAGCAGAGTGAAAAGACTACTCCAAGACTGGGAGAAACACATTCTTCAGGGGATTCATATTCAGAATATACAAGGAATTAAAAAATAACAAATACTGGCAAGAATGTGGAGAAAAGGGAACTCATATACTATTGGTAGGAATGTAAACTAGTACAACCACTATGGGGAAGAGCATAAAGTTTCCTCAAAAAAAGCTACAAATGTAACTTACATATGATCCAGCAATACCACTACTGGGAATGTTTCCAAAGAAAAGGAAGTCATTATATCAAAGAGACACCCGAATCCCCATGTTTATTACAACACTATTCATAATAGCCAAAATAAGGAATTGACCTAGGTGTCCAACAACAGATAAACTGATAAAGACAATGTGGTATATGACCTGGTGGCTCATGCCTGTAATCCCAGCACTTGGAAGGCCAAGGAGGGTGGATCACTTGAGGTCAGGAGTTCAAGACCAGCCTGGCCAACATGGTGAAACCCCGTCTGTACTAAAAATACAAAAAGTAGCCGGGCATGGGTGGCAGGTACCTGTAATCCCAGCTACTCAGGAGGCTGAGGCAGGAGAATCATGTGAACGTGGGAGGCAGAGGTTGCAGTGAGCCAAAGCCCAGCCACTGCACTCTAGCCTGGGTGACAGAGTGAGATTCTGTCACAAGAAAAAGAAAAAAAAAATGTATACATACACAATGGAATACTATTTAGCCACAGAAAGAATGAAATCCTGTCATTCATGACAAGATGGATGGAACTGGAAAACATTAATGCTAAGTGAAATAAGCTGAACAGAAAGTTAAACACCTTATGTTCTCACGCATATGTAGAAGCTAAAAAAGTTGGTCTCATAGAGGTAAAAAGTAGAACAGAAGTTACTGGAGCCTGGGAAATTTAAGAGGAAGAGAGGGTGAGGGAGAAACTTGTTAAAGGATACAAAATTGCAGCTAGATAGGAGGAATAAATTCTAATGTTGTATATAACTGCAGGAGGACTAAAGTTAACAGTAATATATCACAGTTTAAAATAGCTAAAAGGAGGATGTTAAATGTCCCAACACAAAGAAATGATAAATGTTTGAGATGATGGACATTCTAATAACCTTGATCTGATCACTATACACTACATGTATCAAAACGTCACTGTGTACCCCATGAATATTAACCATTGTTACTCGTAAATTTAGAAATGTGTAAAGAATGCAATCATGTTTAAAAATAAAATTAAAAATTAAAAATAAATAAAAAGAGGAGCAATGGAACAAATATTTAGGAAAAGAGATGCTTTGATCCCCTAGATCACTCCAGGAGGACAGCACTCTAATCTTAATTTAAATGTTACTGCTGGGCTCATGCCTGTAATCCCAGCACTTTGGGAGGCCAAGGCGGGTAGATCACGAGGTCAGGAGATCAAAACCATCCTGGCTAACACCACGAAACCCCATCTCTACTAAAGAACAAGAAAAAAATTAGTCAGGCATGGTGGTACGTGCCTGTAGTCCCAGCTTCTCAGGAGGCTGAGGCAGGAGAATTACCTGAACCAGGAAGGCAAAAGTGCAGAGATTGCGCCACTTACACTCCGGCCTGGGTGACACAGCAAGATTCTGTCTCAAAAAAAAATTGTTTGCTCTATGCTGGTTATTATGACAATATAAAAGTGGAAAAAACTAACATTACTAAAGTTGTTGTTTGTACCTGGAGGTTTTGGTTCATACAGATTCACTCTATCACAGAAGATCATCAGCAATGTAAATTCAGCTACACTCCAAGAAAGACTGTTTTAACTAGGCTTATTTAAAGGTAAATAGGGATGTCCCTATGCTTCAGTCTTCCCAGGCATTTCTACAGAAATCTTCTAGTTATAATTATAGCATTCCAATTATAACAAAAATGTTCAACAAACTGCACAATTTAATTTTAAAAAAATAAATACAACCAAACAGAAAGCTTTCTCTTTAAATGTAATTAATGATGCAATGAACTAAAAGGGAAAGGTTAAGCTTTCCGGGACAATAAAAATACGTGGATCTGTGCCAGATTCGGGGGAAATTGCTGATACAGTCAGCTCACTATGTGCGCCTTATTTAAAGTTCAAGCCGTGGCAAATTTCACAGAATGCTATAAATGATCTTTCCTCTGATTTGGGGGATACTTTTTCAATGGTCTGCAATGCTTCTTCCCCTCTTCACTGTATGGAAAATGCTTACACCCAGTGTTCTCAAACTTGGGTGTGTATCATGATCCCATGGTAGGCATGTTAAAAAAAACAACAACAACAGATGGCTGGTCCCTACCCTCAGTTTGTGATTCATTAAGTCTGGAAGGGGCCCAACAATTCGCATTTCTAACATGTTCTCAGGGGATGCACATGCTGCTGGCCAGGAACCATACTTTAGGAACCACCAGCCCTATGCCTACTTCTATTTCAAAAACTCAGCTCAAATCCCACTCCCTGAGAGAAGATGGGGTAGAGAAGGGAGGGGTTTCCCCTATTCCTTCTCCTCCCAGAAGGCTGTCAATAGCTCCACAGTACAGCTGTTTTACATCTCTGGTCCCAATCTGCTCAGCAGATAGGTTTCTACCCTACCTCCCCTCCACTCCTTTGCAATTTACTTGAAAGGGAGGCCCAAATTTTATTCCTACTTTTATGTTTTTCAGTATCTACAACAGTGTCCATTCCCACCAGATATTTAATAAATGGATGCCCTCTAACACACACACACACACACACAAAATACACAAATGACTAGAAAAATGACTATGAAAGCACTTTTAAAGTCAAAGTCCTATGAAAAACCGTTGCAAATGAATCTGCGATCTAGTTAAAACGCAGATATTTTTGTTTTTTGAAATAGAATCTTACTCTGCCCCGCAGGCTGGAGTGCAGTGGTACAATCTTGGCTCTCTGCAACCTCTGCTCCCAGGCTCAAGCAATTCTCCTGCCTTAGCCTCCTGAGTAGCTGGGATTACAGGCACCTGCCACCACGCCTGGCTAATTTTTGTTGTTTTTTAGTAGAATCAGGGTTTCACCATGTTGACCAGGCTGTTCTTGAACAACTGACCTCAAGCAATCTCCCCACCTCAGCCTCCAGAAGTGCTGGGATTAGAGGTGTGAGCCACCTCGCCCCACCTTAAAATGCAGATTTTGATTCAGAAAGTCTAAAGTGGGGCCTGAGAGTCTGTATTTTTAATAACCTGTAGGTGAGGCTAACACTGTCTATGGCCCACACTTAGAGTTTTGTAGGTTTTATACCAGTGGTTCCCAGCCTTGAATTGCCCCATGGATCATTGATAATGTTGAGTCGAGTCTGGTCCACTTCCCAGACAAATTAAATCGGAATCTCTGAGTGTGGGGCCCAGGCATCAGTATTTTTAAAAAGCTCCTCAGTAATTCTAATGCACAGTCAAGGCCAAGAATAGTTGATCTCTAAGAAATCATACATAATATATTCAAATTAACTTAAAATCTAAATTATGTTTTCCAAACATGAGAGTTTCATATTATTTATGATTGCATTAATGTTAATTATACCAAATATATCATTTTATTCTCTTTAAATTACTTACTGTATAGTTACCTGACAGGGGAGATACCTTGATCACGAAGGTGGTTTTTCCAGGGCGAGGCTTATCCATTGCACTCCTGATGTGTTGACCCCGGGATTTCCCCAAATGTGGGAAACTCAACCGCGTAATTTGTGATAGTAGGGGACTGCATTTGTGCTTTCCCCTGGTCTTTCATAATAAATAAATAAATTACTGTAAAATAATGTCTTTACCCAGCATTATCTATACAGCCAGAAAAGAAACTTCTGACAACTTTTAAAATAAAGCTTTACTTAGTATTTACTTAAGTTTACTTAATATTGACTTGAGGTTTCTCAGATTACTGCCATGTTAAAAGAAAAAGATCAGTAACTGCGTTAGACAATGATAATTATGATATATATTTTTCTTAGAAATAGGGCAATGTACCTCCCAAAGAAAGTGCCGTCAACATTAAGGATGCCAAGTGTCAGATGTCACAGCATGTGGTCCAGAAAAGTTGGCTTCCAGAGTGCTGCATTGTTTTTGTTTGTTTGTTTTGAGATGGAATTTTGCTCGTTACCTAGGCTGGAGTGCCATAGCGTGATCTCGGCTCACTGCAGCCTCCACCTCCCAAGTTCAAGCGATTCTTTTGCCTCAGCCTCCCAAAAGTAGCTGAGATTACAGGCGCCTGCCACCATGCCCAGCTAATTTTTATATTTTTAGTAGAAACGGGGTTTCACCATGTCGGCCAGGCTGGTCTCGCACTCCTGACCTCAGGTGATCCACCCACCCCGGCCTCCCAAAGTGCTGGGATTATAGGCATGAGCCACCACACCTGGCCTCCATTGTTTTCATAGTCTGTCTTAAAGAAGCAGAGCCAGGTAACTTTAAAAAAAAAATCTATCTTAAGAAAAATTATCAAATAGAAATCCAAAGCTAGAAAGAAGATATGTTAGAGAGTGTTCTTTCAAACAAATTAAGGATCTTAATAGCATACCTTTAAATATTAAGTCACCAGAGTTCCTGTAAAATATAATCCAATCTTCTCAATTTCTACCAACTCTTCACAAAGACATCTGTGCCATAATGTAAGGCATGTTTATAGGGTTAACTTAAATCTTGGTGTTTAAAAAAGCAGCCCAGATGATACAAAACTTTCCAGACATGGGGTGATCTGTTTTAACATTGTACCAGAAATGTGCTACATAATCCATTTCAGGTCCCTGAATCCTGGGTTCCAAACAGCAGATTCTGGAGTCTACTTTTGCCAGAATGTGCATTAAAATATCTTATATAGTACTAGGAAGAGGTATTCAGCCAACACTGCTGACTCTAGTGTTGCTGCAGCTGAGTCTCAGAATGATAAAGGGAAGCTCAATTATGCATTTGGTCAAACCAAAGCTGACTGCAGGAACTAAGTAAACCTCTCTCAAGCCTCTTAACCTTTAAGAATAAAAGATTGAAATAAAAACCTTTAGAAGACTAATAGTTAAAATTCTTCATGAGGTACAACATTTACGACGTTCCTTTTCTGATAATCTTAAATTTCCTGGCAATTGTAATTATCAAAGAGATATTTGTAACAGCACGATTTATATACATGTAAAAAAAGATGAGAATGATGCCAAATTCAGTAAATTGTGCTATTGTGAAATAACCATCTGACAAATAGAAGTGCCAGGAATTAGCCAAAGGATTCTCTACGCATAAATTTCCTAATGGACCGAAATTTTTATTCTTATGAACTCAAAGTACAAAAATGCTTTGTACATATTAAGGAAAAGCACTGTCAAACCTAAGATCCAACATTTATTCCCCTCTAATTAAGTCAGCACCTTGAAATCTGGTTTCCAGTTTTATCCCTTTTCTGAAACTTTTTTAGATTAGCAATGACATCCCACAGAAAAGAGAAGAGGTGCCAGAAACCTGGAGAATATCTTTTCCCCGACTGATTTTCAACAAAGGGAAGAATGTAAATTATATAAGCAAAGTGGGTCCACTATTGATTCTAGGAAAAACTCCAGAAGGAATTATTTTCAATATATTAAACACTTAGAAAATTGTGATCACAAGGAATTACACTGAATTCAAGTTCAAGTTCAGTGTTCACTCATGATAAACATTTTTTTCCCTGAGATTCATAATGTAGTAGAAATCTCAGAACTGCTATAGGTGTTAGAAATCTGCATTTCAGCAGTCATGGTGTCCTTATGGACAAGAATAAAGTGACTGCTCAAAAGTATACATAGAACCAAACCCGAAGAATGCTGAGTTGTGAGTCAAAGTCACCCTGGAGAGAGACGTCCAAAAGCACTCCACAGAGCACCGTTCTTATCCCTAACTACTTCAAGCTCTTACTGACAACTTGAATATGGTTATTTGTGGCCCAATGATCAAATATTCAGACAATTTGAGGGTGGGAAATAGCAATAATGGTAAATGTGACTGAATTAGATCACAAAAAGATCATAGCTGTCTGCATCAATAACCAAATCTAACCAGATTGAATTCAACAAGATAAACACAAAGTACTACCTGACACTGAGTAGTTTATAAAGGAAAGAGGCTTAATTGACTCACAGTTCTGCAGCGCTTGGGAGGGCTCAGGAAATTTATGATCATGGTGGAAGGGAAAGCAAACATGTCCTTCTTCTCATGGCAGCAGGAAGAAGTGCCAAGCAAAAGGGGAAAAGCCCTTACAAAACCATCAGATCTCATGAGAACTCACTATCATGAGAACAATAGATGTAACCACCCCCATGATTCAATTACCACACATCTGGTCCCTCCCACAACACATGGGGATTACGGGGACTGCAATTCAAAGTGAGATTTGGGTGAGGACACAGCCAAACCATATCATCCAAGGTATATATATACACATTTTCTTTATTCACTCATTGATTGATGGGCATTTGGGCTGGTTCCCTATTTTTGCAACCGAGAATTGTGCTGCTATGAACATGGATGTGCAAGTGTCTTTTTGTACAATGACTTTCTTCCTCTGTGTAGATATGGAGGAGTGGGATTCCTGGATCAAATGGTAGATATACTTTTAGTTCTTTAAGGAATTACCACAGTTTTCCATAATTGGTATACTAGTTTACATTCCCACCAATAGTGTAAAAATGTTTCCTTTACACCACATCCATGCCAGCATCTATTATTTTTGGTTTTTTGATGATGGCCATTCTTCCAGTAGTAAGGTAGTATCTCATTGTGGTTTTGATTTGCATTCCTCTGATAATTAGTGATGTTAAGCATTTTTTCATGTTTGTTTGCCATTTGTATATCTTCTTTTGAGTATTATCTATTAATGTTATTTGCCCACTTTTTGATGTGACTGTTTTTTGTTCTTGCTGAATTTGTTTGAGTTCCTTGTACATTCTGGATACTAGTGTTTTGTTGGGTGTATAGATTGTGACCATTTTCTCCCACTCTGGGTCGTCTGTTTACTCTGCTGATTTTTTTTTTTCTGTGCAAAAGCTTTTATGTCTAATTAAGTCCCACCTATTTATCTTTGTTTTTGTCATGTTTGCTTTTGGGTTCTTGCTCATGCAGTCTTTGCCAAAGCCATTATCCAGAAGGATGTTTTTAATGTTTTCTTCTAGAATTTTTATGAATTCAGGACTTATATTTAAGTCTTTGATCCATTCTGAGGTGATTTTTGTATAAGGTGAAAGATAAGGATCCAGTTTCATTCTTCTACATGTGGCTTGTGAATTATCCCAGCATCATTTGTTGAATAGGGTGTCTTTCCTCTGTTTTATATTTTTGTTTCCTTTGTCAAAGATCAGTCAAATATAAGTATTTGGCTTTCTTTCTGGGCTCTCTATTCTGTTCCATTGGTCTATATGCCTGTTTTTATACCAGTACCATGCTGTTTTGGTGACTGTGGCGCTACAGTGTAATTTGAAGTTGAGTAATGCAATGCCGCCAGATTTGTTCTTTTTACTTAGTCTTGCTTTGACTATATGGGCAAGATATATTTTTTGGTTCCATATGCATTTTAAGATTGGTTTTTCCAGTTCTGTTAAGAAGGATGGTGGTGTTTTGATGGAAATTGCATTGAATTTGTAGATTGCTTTTGGCAGTCTGGTCATCTTCACAATATTGATTCTACTCATCCATAAGCATGAGATGTGTTTCCATTTGTTTGTGTCATCTATGATTTCCTCCAGCAGTGTTTTATAGTTTTCCTTGTAGAGGCATTTCACCTCCTTGGTTAAATATATTCCTAAGTATTTTATTTTTTTGCAGCTATTATAAAAGTGGTTGAGTTCTTGATATGATTCTCAGTTTGGCTGCTGTTGGTGTATAGCAGGGCTAATGATTGTGTACATTAGTTTGGTATCCTGAAACTTTGCTGATTTTATTTACCAGTTCTAGGAAATTTTCGAATGAGTCTTTAGGGTTTTCTAGGAATACAATCATGTCATCAGCAAAAAGCGACAGTTTGGTCTCCTCTTTAGCAGTTTGGGTGTGCTTTTTTTCTTTTGCTTGTCTGATTGCTCTGGCTAGGACTTCCAGTACTATTTTGAGAAGTGGTGAAAGTGGGCATCCTTGTCTTGCTCCAGTTCTCTGAGGGAATGCTTTCAACTTTTACTCATTCAGTATAATGTTGGCTGTGGGTTTGTCATAGATGACTTTTATTACCTTAAGATGTGTTCCTTCTATGGTCATTTTGCTGAGGGTTTTAATAATAAAGCGATGGTGGAGTTTGTCAAATGCTTTTTCTGCATCTGTTGAGATGATCATGTGATTTTTGTTTTTAATTATGTTTACGTTGTATATCACATTCATTGACTTGTGGGTGTTAAAACATCCCTGCATCCCTGGCATGAAACCACTTGATCATGGCGGATTATCTTTTTGATGTGCTATTGGATTCAGTTAGCTAGTATTTTGTTGAGGATTTTTGTATCTATGTTCATCAGGAAGGTTGATCTGTAGTTTTCATCTTTTGTTATGTCCTTTCCTGGTTTTGGCAGTAGGGTGATATTGGCTTCATAAAATGATTTAGGGAGGAGTTCCTCTTTATCTTTTGGAATAGTGTCAATAGGATTGGTACCAATTCTTCTTTGAATGTCTGAGAGAATTCAGCTGCAAACCCATCTGGTCCTAAACTATTTTTTTGGTAATTTCTAATCATCATTTCAGTCTTGCTGCTTGTTATTTGTCTGTTAAAAGTTTCTGTTTCTTCTT